AGGTTTTGGTTTCACAAAAACAAAAGTAATAAAATGCAGGTCCTTGAAATAAGAGGAAAAATATGAGCCATTTTATGTAAGGATTTTAAGTGACAAGTTTCAAGGCTTTTATTATCTCATAGTTATCTCTTTTCAGTGATCTCCCAGACTGCTTGTCTCTGACTGTTTTTAAAGTCAACAGGAAGCCTGTCCTGTCTGGGACAAATTATTACTTCCATCCCAACCCTACCAACAGGTCCAGAGACAGAACTTTCTGTTGTTATGACATAAGTGAGGAAAACCTCATGAAAATAAGCAGGTACAGTTTATATAGGGAATATGTAGCACACATACCTATCCCACGCAAACACACTGATTTCCAAATAGTCAATGAAGATAAGGACAAGTGCTAATAAATAATAATGCAAAGGTGTCAATGTTTTAATTTTATGTGTTTTGAAACTGATTTCATTTTAAATTGCTTTAAATGTTTTATGCTTTTAAACTACCTTACATGGCTCTATAACCTGCCCTGCGATCTTTTAATACAAGTTGCCGGGGGGGGGGCTAGAAATGTTTTGACTGCTGGATAGCTCAGTGGTTTAAACATCTGGCTGCAGAGCCAGAGGTTGGGGGGATTGATTCCCTGCTGTCTATCCTTCTTAGGAAAAGAGCCAGCTTGTGTCCCCAGAAGAAAGGAATGATAAACCACTTCTGTGTATTCTCCCCCTGGAAAGGGTCACCATAAATTGGAAGCAACTTGACAGCGCACAGATGATGATGATGATGATGGCTTCCTTTATTGAGTGAATCCATTTCATGTTTGGTCTTACTCTTTTCATACTATCTTCTATTGTTCATAGCTTTATTGTCTTTTCCAGCATGTCTTCTTTTCTAGTGATAACCCTAAATTACAACAATCTTCTGAGTTTGGACATTTTAGGTGTCACTGAGGCTTGATTTGATGCAAAAACAAATTACTTGTCTTCTAGAAACCCATGGTCTCTTTAATGCTCTCATCTAACAACAATTTTGAATAAAATGATTTTTCTTGCCTCCCATTGGTTTTGTTTGCTCATTCTGGTGCCAGCTCCTGGTGCCTTCCAACCTGCATTGTGCTACCCAGTCTGCCTGGTTGCCAGATTCAGGAGAAAAGGCATCACGGGGTGAGTGGGAGAGACATCTCCGCAAATTCCGGTAGCTTGGATGTCTGTGTGTTATGACATTTTTGTCTTTGTTTGCTTTTATTGGTTTCTCTCTCTCTGAGAGAGAGAGAGAGAGAAAGTCCCTGTTAGACTGAAATTTTTACAATTTTTTTGTTTATTTGCTGTAGATTTATTGTGTTAAAGATGTATATTTTAGTGGGGTTTTAAAAGAATTGTTCTTTCTCATGTACTGCTTGCCTCCATTTGGAGTGGATAGAATGGGCACAAACCGTTGGTGGCTCGGCCTGGTTCATTTACTGCCCCAATAGGTGTTTGTCGGTTTGACACCCCGGCCCCTCTGGTGGGCGCCCCCTCAGGGGCAGTGCCTGGAAGAGGCAGGGCAAGGAGAAACCAGGTGAGAAGAGACTCCTGTTCACCCACTGCTACTCGCTGATTCTTTACAAAATGGATTGGTAAGGGATGAGACAGCTGATCATGCATCCCTAGTGCAAGCCATTTCTTTGAAAGATGCATTTCCCTCTTACAGAGGTTATCTTGTGCAATCTTGGACACTCACTGTGGGAAGGATGTTTTTAAAATTGCGTTAAGGGAGAAGTAAGGCAAGGGAGCTTTCAGCTCCCAGCTGCACACTTTGAATCTCTGCCATCATCTTTTAAAAGTTCATTGGGATTCTTTAGCAAATTAAATTCTGCACAGAGATTTTTTTGGCATTATATAGTGAATCCAAACTAAATGGGTAAGCATACTTTGTTTCTGTAGCAAGCTAGGTTCTCCTAGATACTTTAATTACATATGCAGACCACAGAGATTTAGGCACCTGGCTGCAGAGCCAGAGTTTGGGAGTTTGATTCCCCACTGGGCCTCTTTGACAGGGGCTGGACTCAATGATCCCTTGGGTTCCTTTCAGCTCTATAGTTCAGGGATGATGATGATGATGAATTACATTTTGTAAGGACTCATGGCAAGACATAGGCAGATACACTGAGCATAGAGTTCTTACAGTTAAACTGTTTTTTTGGTTCATCCCAATGAGTAGTGTGTTAGGAGGCAGCCTGGCTCCCCTACATCCTTAAAATAAGAATAGTTGTGATAGTAGCACAGTAAACGTTGGCAAACTTTGTAAACATTGAAGAAAAGCAGGCAGACAATGTAATGTAAGAACCATGGCAGAGATCTAAGTCTTGCGTGTTCTACTTGGAAATCATATGAAGAAAATGCTTCACATACAGAAAGTCCCAGGTTCAATTCCTAGCTGTTCCAATTAAAAGAATCCTAGAACTGCACATGAGACATCCAGTATCTTATTGTGCAGTGGATAGAGTGATGGGCTATGACTCAGGAGACCTGGGTTTGAATTCCCATTCAACTGTGACACCTCATGGGTGGAATTAGTAACTCAATTTAAATGACTTCAGGGAGCTTTGCTGTTGTAGTGGTATCTCGCATACTTTCTAAGGCAGGTTACCTAAATGTTTATCAAATGACTATGCCTGACATCCTGTTGCTTAGCATAATAAGTTGCATTAGAGTAAGCCCGTCACAGAGGTGAGTCAATTTCTCTGTAAGTTTCATTGATTCAATAGGCCCACTCTGTTGTGACTTATGACACTAAGCAACAGGATTTCAGCTAATGGTACAAATTAATTCTATAAAACAGTGCAGTCTGCCAGGGGAAAAAATGCAGCAGGAAAAAAAATGTATCCGCTGAGATCTGCACCGATATCTCCTCTGATTATGAGATTGTTATTTCTCTAAGAAAAAAAAAGGATTAAAAAATGTCTAGATAATTAGGATGCTCCATGTGACGTTTGACAAAGGGAAAAAAAGCAGCAGACCAAAAGGGCAGAGCAGGGTCGCGGGACTAAGAGCTGCTCAGAGACAGGATATTTACAGAGCAGCCCTCAGACATTAACCCATAATAACTGAAATGTAACAAACTACCATAAGGCATGCAGATGTTTTAGCCGTGCTGCCTGGATTCCTGAGTACAGGCCTCAAAAGCAACTCTCCCAAGATCTGAAGAAAATATAACCCACTATTTCTTTCAACTGTCTGGAATTTTGTGTTACATATTGTGATAGAATTGTGCAAAGGGAAAATAGGCAAGAAAGTGCTCCACGGGCTCCTTTTCATTGTTAAATTTGCTGTAAAATTAGTTCCACCTGTACCTACTTATAACTAAATGTTATCTGATTTTGGCTGGTATTTCACTTCTCGGTGCAGGAAATGGGCAAAAAGATAAGAAGCAGGAAACCTCCTGATTCATTGGGTTCCTAACTTAATTTTAAGCCCTGATTTTGCCAGCATAATCAACTTCATATTTAGAGATCCATTCCTCAGTGGGTATTGGCCCGCATATGTAGGAATGATCCCAGATTTGGAATGTAGTTTTGGATTTATTTGGCTGAAGCTTCAGCAGGCAAGTTGTGTAGAACTCAGATACCCATTATTCATTATTACTGTTTAGCTTGTGCTATCCCACAGACTTAGGACTGGTCTGATATCGAGATATCCTTCTAGTCCAGTGGTTCCCAAACTTGGATTTCCAAATGTTCTTGGACTGCAACTTCCTGAATTTCTGGCCAGCACAGCTAGTGGTGAAGGCTTCTGGGAGTTTGTTCGAAAGCATCTGGGGACCCAAGGTTGGGAACCACTGTTCTAGCAGCTTGGTTTATTCACATGTGAGCTTTCGCCAAAGAAGACCTTGCCTCTCTTCTGAGGATTCTCTGTGTTTATGTGTGTGGCTGTCCTCTGTCATTGCTCTTTTCACATAGCGTGTAGCCTGAAAAGGAGAGTCTGGACTATCCACAGTGGCTCTCCACATGATCTGGAACTCTGAGAAAATAAGGGTTTCCAGTTGCATGGAGAGGTAACACACACAGAGAACGTTATCTTCCCCGAACTGTTGTCACCCTTGTGAAGACAGTGATCAGAGAAAGGGCAGATGTAGCTTACTCCATCCCAACAGGCTAACCTTGCCCCAAAGATGGTAATAAAGCTTGTCTGGTGACGTTGTCTTTTACACACGGAGCCCTCACCACATGATTTGGAACCAGCGTTGCTGATTACATGCGGTATCTCCACAGGTATTGAAGGGTCTCCTTTTCCAACAACCACCCTCCATGGTGGAAGGGCCAGGGCTCATGTGGTTTTACTCGTGTTGATTTTAGCTCATTTTGTGTACATTTAAATAGAACTTTGACTTTAGATAGCTTGAATACTAGAGAACTATAGAACCTCATATAAAGATTCAAATTAGTACTGAACCAGATAGCTTTCACCTCTTAGGATGATTATGCAATTCCTACTCTCCCCTGCCCCCACCCATCTTCAAGGATACAAGGACAGGAATTTTATGATCTAAGGATGGCATTAGATGTATCCCGGCCTCTGAGCTTTCTTGGGAGATGGAGGGCTTCTGCCTTGGCACTGGCAGGCAGCATGAAGCCTTGAGAAGTAAAAATACTGGGAGGGAGTTTCCCCTTGGACTTTTCTTGTTCAGGAAAAAGACGACCTCCGTCTGCTGCAATTCAAGAATGGTTTTAACATTCCTTATTTCAAATGATAAATGTCCACCACCTTATTTTTCAATGACGGTTCATGATTCTCATTCCTGTAATTTTGGATAATTTTGCAACTTCAAACGGATTTTTAATTTTAAAAATAACAAATCAATGAACAATTTTTTAAAAGATGTAAAAGTGACATTTTAGCATTAATGCCAATATTTTAAAGGGCTGCACCAGGGCCCTAGATTAATGAAGTCACACTGGAGTTCTCGGTCCAGGTACAATCCCAAAATAATCAACATGTCAAGAGTCACCAGAAAAGAAACGAGATAAGACAATTCTTTCCTTTTGCAATAATATTTTTAATACAGCATTAAACTGCTATAATACTAAAGGCAAGTCATATACTATCCAGCAAATAAGGCACGTGTCGGAATGCCATTTTATGGACAATGCTCAACAGAGGTCTGACAGTCTTTTAAACACCCAGTTAACCAGGGTCACCCCTGGAGGCTGGGTTAAGTCTTGCTCCGCTGAGGCCCATGTCCATAGAAATGTTATTATTATTATTTTTAAGCTGTACAAATTAATAACCAGTTACAGAACAGGAAAATTATACAACCGAAACTGAGGGAAAAAAACCATTGGGTACAGCTAGTTTTTCTTTAAATTCATAAGTAATGAAACTAATCTAAATCTGCAGAAATTAATAAGATTAGTCCTTTACAATGTAGTGACTGATGAGCTTAATAACACATTGGAAGGGAAGTATGTGTCCAATATAGAACTGATTTCCCATTTTAGCATGGCTTAACAAACAAACAACCTTAATATAATGGAGCTAGGTGAAACCATAAAGGATAAGATGCATATAATATGTGTGCATGCATATTGTAACATTTTATGTTTTCTAAATAAAATAAACACAAAACACTTAAATCAATCCAACCATCTCTTGGTCGTGGCCACTGATTGACACTATGGTTGTAATGCTAGCATTTCAGTGTAGATCTTAGTCTGGTGATTTTCCAAACGCCTATGATGCTGTCTCCAACCACCCTGGTGTGATAATGCACAAAATAATAACAACATAATGATGTTGCAGTACAGTAGGACTGCAGCATCTGCAGGGGATCAGTCCAAGGTCCCCCCCACCCCCATAGATGCCAAAAACCACGGATATGAAAACCCTATAGTATTTGTATCCAGTTCCCTCTAGTGGCCAGTTCCAGCAATATACCTTGGAAACACACATTTCTAGGTTTTTCAATTTAATATTTTCAGGCAGAGAATATCTGAAACCATGGGTACTGATCCTGTGGTCCTACTGTATTTCTGAAACAGGGTCTCTTTGAAACTTTTCACATATGATACAGCTAACAGGTTAATCTAGATAATTTTTAAAATTCTCAAACACTGGTTTGTCGCATTTACTCGTTCTATTTTTTAAAGTATCAGTTTTATGTAAAAAGTCCTTGGGTGTGGACCTAAAAAACATAACATGAGGAAATACTTACATCATCCATTTTCTGTTCTATCCATTTGCACAGGAGTTCCAGCTATGCCACTATAATACTGTGTTGAAGCATCAATCATTATAGCTCTGTCATAAGTAGATGTTTCAGGATTGGGCTATTAGTGTGTCTTTCTCAAGATCATAAAGTGATAGTGTATCTAATTTTTACCAAATCAGTCATAACTTCTCTAAAAAAAGGCAGTATTTTTCCAAAATACACATATAAATAAACTGAGTAAGCACATTAATATAAGTTCTAAACCTGAATAATATACTGGTTACTTAATACTGATATTTTCATCCAAAGGACAACAACAATGACAACAACAACAACGCAACAACAACAACAACAATATGGCTTAAAGAATTGCAAGGGTTTTTTCTTCTTGTCAGAATTATGTACCAACTTTCATATAATATTCTATGTAGACAATATTTCCTTCATAATGTAGTTCTGTTGCATACTTTATACAGACAAAAGCATTGTAAAAAAACCAAAACAAAAAGCAAATTCCTTCCATAAATATTTTCTTGAGGATACACCCTTAATTTTGTATAATACTTATGAAAACTCTTAGCTCTGTTAGTATTCTAGTAGAGAACCAAGGCCCTTTTTTTTGAAAGCTTCAGAGTTGTAAAAACACTTAAAAAACCCCAAACAGAACAAACAATAGTATTTTTAAAGGCCCTCAAATATATACAGAAAAAATGGTTACTGCAAAGAGTTTCCAGATAATAATTCAGTATTACAAAGAAATATTTGTAACCATTGAAAAATTTTAAACACCTAAAAAGATATTCCAAAATACACACACATTATTAAAAAAATGGAAAGGAACTCTATGTCAAGTATAACTCAAGATAAATACACATCTGCAAGTAAAACTGTAAAATATTTTATAACAGGGATAAACATTAATACCAATTGACTATATCTATTAACTGCACACGATTGTCCCTTTGATATTCATCCTAGGAAAACACAAAACTTCATTTGTATAGCTATGGATTCAGTCAGCTTACTGAGTGCTGCAGCCAGCCAGTAATATTTCCAGAGGCAGTGGTTTTTGTAGACATAAAACAGATAGGCACTGAAATCCTGGCTGAGCATAAAATACTGTCTTAAAGAATGACATGGCATGGATCATTTCCATTAAGTTTAAGTTAGAACAAAGTTTCACGAGGTTTACATTTGCAGGAATTAACACCTGCATTTGCCAGAAGTCTGAACCGACTGGAGAACATTACTAGGCACAATTCAGGCAAAATTAAATGCTTCTGAGTCCCACTGATTTCAGCAGATGCTTCATAGAGAATCAGTTTATCAAGACCAGCACTATCTGTTCCGACTGGTAGCAGCCTGCCAAGAAATTGGTTGGAGGGCTTTCCCCCGCAAAAACCCTCTTTCAAGTGGGGACTAACCATAAATTCAATCTATCATCTTGCTTTGCAACTATACATTTTCAGCTCTGGCCTATCCCCTTCATGCACTTAACTCTACCACGGAAACCAATGGGGTGGTAAAGTGCTTCATTTTGGATAGGTAATGTGCATGAATCAATTTTTGCATGTATAACTAAACCCAAAGAAGAGTAGGGCCACCTTATATGATAACAGATTTATTTCAGATTGTGCTTTCGTGGACTACAGTTCACTTCTTCAGACACACTGAGATCCACAAAAGCCCACACTGAAAAGAATCTCTTAGTCCTTAAGACACCACAAATCTTTTGTTTTTCTTTCTGCTACACATGCTGAAACAGATTAACATGGCTAACTTGTCAATCACTTCCTGCACCTAAATAATCCTAAAACTATCTTAACACCATCCAAACCGCATTCATAAAAATCACATTTTAATGTCACTGGGACTTCTGAGTACATAGAATTAGGCTCAAATAGGTTTAATTCAAATGGGAGTTACAAGTGAATGCTAATTGGCAGTTGGATAATAACTTATTTCCTATACAAAATGTGGGCAGGGGGAGACTAACATACACACAACTGTATGTGATGGATGATTTGAATGTTTATGGGTTGGGAAGCCCAAGTCCTCTGTCTCTATACACAGGTAAAAATAAAACAGTAGGATTGTGAGAGTTGCTGGTGACCGCAAGATAACAGTCAAATTGCTTCCAAGGACTTTGTGTGTATTTCCAAGTGTCCTCTGGGGCTATTTGAATGATGGAAACCTTCCCACAGCAAACCCCTGTGCCATCTGAAAAGCCAATCCTGAATGCTGGGACCCCTCATGAGCAGCATCCACCACACCCCATGACATTGCCATCCAAAATCAAATTTTGGAGAGCCTTTGGATGCAAAAGGCACCCATATGGGGGCTCTTTGGATGTCAGCCTTGGTATCCCATCATACAGGATATCAAAATCATTGCTTCATGCACTTTTAAAATTTTTAATTTCATTTTTTCCCCATTCTTTGTAAGGTGATATAATGTAACAAATTTTGTATTACTTGTACAATTTAGAGGTAAAGTTGTGAATGCCCTTCTTCTAATTCAAACTTTGCAATTTAATTTTTTCCCCATTTTCCCTATTAGATCTGTAGAATACGAGAGACTGCTGCTAACATTTTATAAGTGCTCAGATACCATAGTCAGTTTAATATATGGCTCTATTTTAATTACATTTCTTACATTATCAGTTCTTCCTCAGTGAAACAGAATTAGCAATAAACTTCAAGTTTTCAAAAGCTACACCTCACCTTTGTACGGCCAGTAAAATAATGACCATCCCACACTGTTTGCACACTTATCCAGCAATGAAACTGGAGGTCATTGAACAATTCAGGGGCTATCTTATTTATTTACTTATAACATATTGCCCCAAATGTATCTTACTTTTTGGTTCTTTCTTCCCTTGACTGACAGCTTAATCATGTAAACAACAGAAAGAAGTTCAGGGTTGTTATCTCAGGATATCTCTTTATGTAAACAAGATTTGATGCCAAAAGGATCTAACCCCTTGCTCTTCCATTGTCACAATGGATTGGATGCAGACTTACTCAGAGAGTAGATGCACTGACATCACCGAGTTTTATGTGTTTCATGACTCCACTCTCAGAATGATCCCTGGATCCAACCTAAGCTCTTCAAAGAATCACTGAGTCACCCATGAATTTAAAATTCTACTCCTAAGGCTAAGGTATCAAAATTCATAATACAATAGGCATGGTCATACACGTTGCACTCATTTATTGAGCCTGAAGAACTTTTTTAACTTGGCTAAGTGGATAAAGCCATTTATCAGGAGCGGGCAGATTACAGAGGTCCAACTGACCACCCGTCACTCACTATGGCCTAATTAAACCAGCAATGTTAATTGCCACGGACTCATCAAAATGAAGGCCATTTGCAATTCATGGCCTGCTTAAGAGTTATGAAGAAAATGAGATGAATTTGTGCTTTCAACAACATTTTGCTGTGTTCACAAGAAAGGATACTATTGGAATTGAGTTTCTTGCCTCTGAAGGACTTGGGAAAGAGCACATTCTTTGAAGACCTCTGTTGCAGACAGGCTACCTGGAAAGCTACAGCATATCTGTGTATAAGGCAATGTTGACTGGTTAGCGTGGGAACAGGAACAGGCCAAGCCTCCAGAATGAATGCATAGGTAAGCAGGGAAAGTAAATCTGCCAAATATCTCCCTGCCTGGCAGTTCTTTATCATATCAAGTAGTAGGCATGAGGTGAACCCCTAAAAGCATTATGTCCTCGGGCTCTCTTCAAAACTCTTCATTGTTAATACTGATAATCATGGCATTAAAAAAAGTTTACAGTGCATAGCGTGGTGTCTTTCTTCTTGGTGCCCTGGTAAGGGCAGGATCTAGTTCAAACACAACCCTGTCTTGCCAAGAATGTTAGACTCTAAACATCCCCAGGGGAGATCATATTAAATGAAGAATATCTGGATGCCAAATTCACCTGCAGTTTGCAAGTGGTCCGTTTAAATTTGCGATCACTATTTTCTCTGTGATCTTCAATTCATATGTAACATAGGAAGAAAAGATGCTGTCTTAATCTTACTTAAATGAGCTCCCATTATGTGTTTGCTTTGCAGTAAGACTTAATATTTAACAGCATAGGTGGCTCATGACTTGGCTAAGGGGGCACCCCCTTTAACTTGGTCCACAAGCCATACCGCTTAATAGATTTGGTGCAAATATTATATTTTCCCTAACTGTACAGTAATATTTTGGAAGACAAGGACAAAGGAAGGTTTTCCAAAGCAATTTTCTTTACATGTGCAAATGAAGTCCCTGTAGATGAGCTATATCATTGGGTCTTTATTGGGAAATTGGTACAGTTGGACATTATTTTGATGAAATCATCATTGGATTTAGGAAGAGTATATACAGCAAACATGCTTTTTGGGGAATCATTTTCCCATTATTCACAGTAAATTTACCCAGGCCCACCCTGTTCCTCAATATTTGTACTGCCTGCAATGACCTGCAACATAGTTTAGGGTGCAATTTGAATTTGTGGTCCAACATAGCTTGTAAAAGCCTGCAAGGCCATTGGGGGATTCTGTGAGCTGCAGGGAACAAAATATGGGGTAAACTGAAGTTTGTAAGCAGTGATGAAAATAAGTTAATTATACTTTTTTGTCCACCCTTCTGTCTCAACTCCCACAATTTTCTTCTGCCATTCTGAGCTCAAGAACAATTCAGATGTTTGGTGGTGTCATCAGAAGACCACCAAAAAATCTTTGGCATGTTAGTCCACGAGGGGATGACTAATCTGGTTTATTCAAACCAGCACTGGTCTGCTCATGATGATCATAAGGACTGTCTTCATGCAATGACACTGTTGGGACAGCCTATGTGATGGGTGTGGTATGAAAAGACAGTAAAATGATGGATGCCTAGCCTACCAGCTGGCGAAGCCTCATCTCATGTCATGAAACAAGGAAAGATCTCTATCCTATAGAAATGAATGGGTCAAACTGCAGAAGAGGACATGAGAAACTGGATATGACCTAAGAGGATATAACAATTCTGGCAGGGTAGCAACCAGAGTGGGGGCCATTGGGGGAGGCAGGGCAAGGCAGGGCTAGCTTGATATAAGATCAAAGTTGCATTTGTCCGGTTACCTACATGAAAATATTGGTTTTGGCTCAAAAATGGTAGGAAGTGTTGCTTCCACTTGCATAGCAAGTACATAGAGAAGGAGAAAGGCGAAGATAATCGCAACCATGCGACGGTATTGGTTGGCAATAGCCTGCAAAAAATGATTTAAAAGAATGTATCCTGAGTGCACGTACTCAGAAGTACATCTGCATAATACTGTGGAACCGATTTCAGAATAAGCCTGTTTAAGATTGCTGTTTAAGGAAGATAAATTTCTAATTGACCCTCCCTGTTCTACCATTACTTCTCCGAGCAAATCCCAACCTCAGACAATTATTCACTTGTTCTTTTTCACCCTCAGTCTCTGTTAACTGAATGTCCACCAAAAGCCTCATCCCAGTGGTCCTAAAGGACTCTTAGAAAACAAGACACCAGACAGAACTTTCAGACCAACCTTAAAGTCAAGAAAAGTTAATATTTCCGCCTTCTTCAAATCTTTTTTTCCCCTAGCTCAGCCCTTGATGCATTAGAAAAAAACATCTTGCTTATGGTACTGGCTAGAACTCTTACTGAGCATACTATCCATTTTGTCTACTGTCTGCAAGACCCACTAACACAATTCACCTGTATCACCATGATTTTTATATACCTTTCTTGATAAGCAATGCTGTTTCACCCCGGCAGGATACTGTAGCTGTGTAAACAATCAACAGAAACCACATTAATTATTCTATCATGAACACGACATGGCACAGTCCAGCAAGAACTGCTCTCGCACAAGTCCCCAGCCTTTCCAGCGTATTTGCGTGGGGTTGTCACACAAGACTTGCATGAAAGACTGGAGGCTGTACCACAGCAGACTTTGGCACCTTGTGCCTGACACCGGTAACTTCTGCTTCACACACACATATATAAAACACACTGTAGTCCTATAAATACAACTTGCATGTATAAACATACACAGGAAAAGGGTTACATTCTATTAAAAGTAAGGCATATTATTAGTTTATTGATAGGCAATATTGATTTGTGGGAGGGGCGGTTCTTGTCAGACATTTTTCCTTCCTCTTCCTTTTGACAGTTGTTTGCTGCCAGAGAATCTCAAAAAGTGGTGGCGAAGCTGATCCGGGAGTACGTTTATTGCACACGGCGGCAGTAGTAACCCAACACTTTGCATTTCTCACAGAGGTGCTGAGGGTGTTCTTTACTTTGATCAGAAACATCCAGACCGTCAGGCTTTTCCAGGGGTCTCTGCACAAGGAAGGTAAGCACAGACATTACACATTCCGGCCAATAGTAACAGTTCACATTTCGATCCCTGACTCATGCGAAACGGCAGACTATTTTATAGATCCAGGTCTAAAACTTTCACAGACTGAAGTCTCCTGGTTACAAACTTCCAAATTGATCATTATCGTGCTCATACGTTGTATTCTTCAAACCCTCTATAAAATCCCACTCTGCTGCCTTACTATGGTGCAAAGGTGACCCTGGTTCGTCAAAGGTTATGGGCCAAATCAGGATTAGCAAATGTAAGGACTTCAAATGCATTCTGTTTCATGGCCGTTTGTTGGCTGTGTCCTACCTTCAGTATCTAAGGGGCCTGTCTGGACCAAATGTTGGCCTCTAACTGGCCTGACTAGCAAGATGTTAAGGCTGAAAGAGAAGCCTGTCAGGGTCTCATTGTGGGTATATTAAGTTTCAACTTGCTACAAGAAATTATTGAAGTTGCCCCTCCATTTGTTCCCTTAATGAACATCAAATGTTCTGCCAGCTATATGGCTCTGAGGTGAAAGCATTTCAATCTAAGTAATGCATAAAATACATTTAGAGCACTGGCTAAACAAACGTTAGTCTAGCACTATGGTTGAAAGGCTGTACTTGTGCCATGAAGACGGTACCACACAGTTTCCCCACAAACAAAATATTAGAATCTGGCCAAAGTAGAGAGGAAGTTGAGGGTTAGTTTATCATGTTCGTTGGGAAGTAAAAATTAAACTCAGTGTCAACCAAACTCAGTAGATTACTTTTTGGGAGTTCCTCCAGATTGGGTACCATATCTGTAACAAGGAGATAGTAAACCTAGTCTACATCACAGAAGTACTGCAATGGGCAACAGGACAATGTGTAAGTATCTGTTACTAGTTATATTTGTATCTAAGAATGCAAATAGTAGTGATGTAATGAATCACACCTACATTATTTACAGTAAGTGTAACAAAGCACACCAACTAGTATTACAAAACTACTTTAAAAGGACATTTTAGGGGCATTTTAGGGACATTTTGACAGAATTTTCTCAGCTTTATTGCCATTTTCTTACCAGTCTAAGTGTCAAGGGAACTGTTTTATGGTTCTGTCTTTTTATAAATATTTTCAATGTGTGCAATGTCAGAATTGAACACTAAAGGGAATCAGAAAATATTTTCCTCTAAATTTCTGTCTTGTTGGTTTCAACACAACAAATTACATACACAAATGCAGCAATAATTAGAATGACAGAAATCTATCTCCTGAAAAGTAATGAGCAATGCAATGAATTCCTTTTAGTATTTAGGGCAACTTTATGGATTTCCTATACACTCTAAGGTCAAAGCGTATGCCGGGTTCTGTTGAAATCTTTGTACGATCAGAGTTTGCCACACATAGACTTGGATTGTCTTGGATAAAAACCAGCATTTTATACACTTTGCTAGATATAGCTACAGCATCAAAACAAAACAAAACAAAATACACAACTAATGTCCATCTGCTCCCTCCCAATACCACTGTTGCCTTAAATTAGGAGCAAGAAGTGGTTTGTGTCCTGCATACATTCTCAAACTCAATTTTGATGATCCCTGGAGACCACAATTTTATTAGTTGTTTTTTTTTTAAAAATCAGGACAATCATGTCTCTAGAAATCCCCAGAGATCATCCAAGTCTCCATCTTCCTTTAGAAAATTAGCATTTTAAAAAATGAGCAGTCTGGCATGAACTCTCTCCACTCTTCTTTTGTAAGCCTTAAATCAATTTTTCCAGGGTTTGCTACAACACGGTTCCCTATGATTTGCAAAATACACACTCTGTACAACAAAATATATTAAACTATGGTTTGATCACAGCTGGGAAGTAATAGTAAAAAAATGATGTGGTTACTAGCCATTTGTTACTTTTTGGTAACAAAAATAGAGTAGAACAAAGAGAGTGGTTACTCTCAAACCTATATTTGAGTCAGGTTTAGCATGTTTGAAATCAGTTTTTGAAAAGGGGACTGCCTGGCTGGAAGCTTGGATTGTTTTGACAGGGAAGCATGTTTTTTTTTGTTGGAAAGCCAAGTATTTTACTCGGCTGCAAGAGGCTCATTTATTTTAAACTGCTTGTGAAAACATTTTATTTTCAGTTGTTTTGGCGTATGTGAATGCCTCTGTCCATGTAAATTGTGTCTGTTGGCTTTGCCACTCACTAGTGTGTCTTCCATGTTCACTCTTCTCCACCTCTGTGTGCGTGTGTGTATCTCCCTCCTTTGTAAGCCTAGAAGGGCTGATCAAAATGTCTGGTCAGTTTCAGCCCCCCCTGTGGGGGGGAGGAGGAAGGGGGGGTTAAGGAAGAGAAAATCAGCCTGTGCACCAGTTTAAGGGACTGGAATAACTAGGTCTGAACTGAGCCAAAGGAAAAGGGAATAAGGTAATTTTTAGAATGAGAGGGAAACAGTTGCAGACATCAAGTAGATGGCTCTGTATTGTTTCTCATTACATACAGTGCCATTGACAGAACAATGCAGAGCATTTTGGAGTCCTGGATCTGAATGCCTTTGTTCTTTAACATTGAGAGCACCAGGCCCTCTAGCTAGACTTTAACCAGCTTCATGATCTTGGTGGCAGCCCTTAAAATGTTTTTTTTTTCCTCCACCAAAGCAAGAATGTGTCAAACAGCACCTTTCCAGCTTGCTCCTCTCACAGTCCCTCCTTGCAGTAGCCCCAAAATCTTAACTACAGATAAAGCTTTTACTTTATTTATTTATTTATTTATTTATTCTTTTAAAAAGACATAACTGCAAAGTGGGATCACCTGTTTGTTCTCAGCCAGTCTACTTCAAATACTTCTCATCAAAGCAAAAGTACTGTTTGAAATTACACAGTATGTTTGAGATGGATGGGGGAAAATATCAGAAGCCACAGGGAAAGAACAACTCTAAGGAAATAAGAAAAGATGAACTACATTTTAAAACATCAGTTAAAAGGGACACCCTAGCATGCTTCTTCATCTCAGTATCTGCATAATTAGCTTATTTACTGAACTAGAAAGCTACAGTGATGAAATTTTGAAGGAAAGTGAAGGATTTTGCCCATTTGCAATGTGCAACTGTTCGGAGAGGCAGTTCCCTTTTCCTTAAAAAATGTCCACCTTTGTTACTCCATTACAGAAGAACAGCTGAATTCCCTGCTTTCCGGGCACCCTTCTTCCTCCCCACAACTTTGTTCTGGCAGTTGTTGTGCTATAATAGACAAAATGGCCCATGGGTGTTCCCTCGGCCCACCACAGCACAGTGTAGCAGGGGGAGTCCCATGCAAAGGGGCCTGGGGAGAAGCTGCTCTGACAGAACTTGAGAGAGAAAGACAACAGTGATTGTGTTTACTGATACAAACCAGATTTAAACTAATTAACATAAACTCTCAGGGATATTTTTCCCCCGCTTGGAAGTACAGCAAAGGATTTTGGGAATGCCAAGAGTTTCTTGGACCACAATCAGCAACAATATCTTCTCTCAGATTTGTTTTTCCCATGCTTTCTGTTGATTTCAGTTTTTTTACTGGCCTGCAAGCCATTTAGATTTCAGGAATGTTATCATTACCAGCACATTACAACATACTTGTGGAGGAAAGATACAGGAAACACAGGAAACCAGGTTGCTTTGGGCTAGTTGGAGACCACAAAGCAATGCTTAGGCTGCCTGCCTTTCGTGAACTGTTGTTGAGGGCTTTGACTTCAGAAACAGCACATCTGTTTGGAAAAGTGTAAGGTTATCTAGGACTTAAATCAAAATATCGCTGGCAAGCAAATTGATGTTTTGTGAACATGATGCCCATGACCCAAGGCTGTAGTTGATCTATTATCTACAGTAGGTTTGCGAATTGAAGAGAGCCCTATTAATATTAATTTATCTGCCAAGTATACATGGTAGCCATGAGGAAAATGAGAGTAATTACCTCCTGATGGAGGAGCACCTATTTGCGTAGAGCATGGAAAAGTTGATTTTTTAGACTACAATGCCCACATTTCTCTAGCCAGCATAGTTGCCAAAAGATAAAATTTCCAAGCTGTGCTTCCAGAAGCACCCCATCAATATACAGCTTTCTTTGCTATCATTAAGTGCTTTTTCCACATATAGCAGCTGTAATGCTTACAAATCATATTACATCACCACTAGCTATAGTGATGTTCTGCTGATTTTTATCAAGAATGAGTGACATCAAGCTAGAGATTGGAAAAGAAAAAAAGTAAAGTTAATTGGTAGAACTTCTTACTTTTTGTGGGAGGGGGCGCTTGTAGCAAAACGGCAGGTTACTCACCTGTAATTGTAGTACTTCGAGTGGACCTCTGTGAATCTTACTGTGGGTGATCCATGCCTGCACAGAGCCTCTTCAAAATATTCTAGACTTCTGCGGTAGCAAAAAAACCCATTAGAATAGACCCCTCCCCCTCAGTATAAGTACCTTGGCGCCAGGACTCTCCCTTCAGTTGTGTCAACCATCGCAAGGAGAAAAATATTGCATGGTGTGACAGAGGAGAGGTCGGGTGGGATCTGTGAATCACAGAGGTCCACTCGAGGAACTACAATTACAGGTGAGTAACCTGCTGTTCTTCTTTGAGGCCTCTGTGAATCACACCCTGGGTGACTAGCAAGCTGTCTTATTCGGAGCCAGGGTGTCACACCAAGGCAGGAGCCAAAACAGCACATCCGAATGCTGCATCAGACTTCTGTCGAACATCTAGTCTATAATGTTGGATGAAGGTAGATGGTTGTGCCCACACAGCTGAGGCGCAGATGTGTGGGAGAGGCACACCATGTAGGAATGAGGGTGAACAGCTTGAGGGACCAGCTGTTGAACAAGTTGTATGCAAGCCGAATAGTAGAGGCAACCCAGCAAGAGATCATCTGGGAGGTGATTTGTAGGCCTTTGTTAGGAAGTTGATGAGGCATCGGGAATGTCAAAAGGGTTGTGTTCATGACAAATAAAAGGAGAGGGTCCTCCTGACGTCCAAAGTA